TTTATGCCTTCTCTTATTACACTCGACCTCCAGTAGAGTTAGAACCTATCTTGAGCTAGTCATGTATCGTAATCTTTCTTATTTCTCGATTATTCGCTCATCCATTTATTGTTCTCCACTTTTCTTTTTACCTTTGCCCTGGGGTCAGGCTTCCCACCCTTACCACAACTCTGTGTAGGAATAATGCCACTGACGACCAGCTCCAAACAGGGACGTATCTCTGATTCTGAACAGGCTCTTCTTTCCTCCACATCTACCTTACTTAACGTGTCTCCTGGCTGCTTTCCGAAAGCCTCGCCAATTTCAGTCCTAGGAGATTCGTTGCTTCCTCAATGCCATAGTTCAGCAACCGGATACTTATGCCCACCGGTCGCAAGATCTAATTTTTCTGATACTACCGCCACCCGCACCGTTGCCATAGGCCCCAAAGAGGGCTCTGTCAAAGATGATGATGAGGAGATGGTTCAGTTGGCTGGATCATTGAGCAACACTCTTGGCTTGTTAGGTGACATCCAGTCTGCTGGCGGAGTCTGCGACATTTTTGAACATACCGAACCCGTTTCACCTTCCAAAACGTCGAATAAAGTACAGGAACATCGACAAAAACAAAGGCATCATCAGGTGGCCGAACGCTCACACAGTCGCCACCATCGTCATAGCCACCACTACCAGCATCAACATGGACATCATCATAGCCGTCATCATCATCATCATCACCATCATCCACGCTACATTCATCAGCACCAACGGGATCAGCATCGTGACAACATTCCTTCTCATTCACATCGACATACTCGTGATTGCAGTGCTCAACTTGACAGTGAATCCTCTATGGAAACACTCACTACATGTGCCTCGATTTCTTCTAGTCAGATGCAAGCCCCTCATGACGATACTAAAGAGTCAGAATCAATTGTTGGATGCCTTCGACAATTGCGGCATAGGAACGATTCGCGTTCCAGTCAGGAATCGGGCACAAGTGGAAGCGTCAGCACAGTTTCCAAATACTGCTTCGAATCTAGACTCCAATCGGCCTCTCGATCAGAGCCAACGGAAGAGGATTGTCTGGGTGTATTTAATATGCATCAGGATGCCGACGCTACGGAAGCATTGAGTGATCAACCGAGTCCTATCCTTGTTGAGTGGATGCGACGTCGCCTCTATTATTTCTTTATGTCGCCTGTCGAGAAGTTCAAGACCAAACGCCGCCTGCCTTATACGTTGATAATACAGCTCTTAAAGATTTTGATAATCACAATTCAGGTGTGTACATTTTTACAGCATCTTTAATTATTTGAACACTTCATTCCAACTAGATTTTCCAATTAATTTCTAGTCCTAAGATGACCAGGTTTCAAACTTCAAACCGGTCAGAGTTTATCACAATAACTAACACTTTCTAGGAAAGCTAACATGATCGACATATATTTTAGGACCAATTTGGTTCAGTTGCATAATGTCTTTATTAATGGGGTTGAGCGAGGAATCATATTTGAGAAGAATATAAGGAACCCAAATTTGCCTTACCTTTTGCGTCTCAAAATAGTTATTTATCGAACTAGTAGCTTTCCAAGCTATCAGTAGATCTTAACTAAGGACCTGAGCCTCCTTGGGTCTGTTGAGGTGATATAAATACTGATAATTAAATTTGCCGAAGTTCATGGAGTGGGCGGTGATGCTAAGCAAAGTAGATAATTAAACTATCAGTCCTCATATCACCTTTTGTGATCTAGGGTTATTCAAAACAGTTAACTCTCAGTGACTTAAATGTGTCGCTATTCATATGTCATACATGCCTAGCAGGCAATTGCCTCGACACTGCCGTTTCTAATCAGATTTCTCATCGAGACTATCAAACATAAAAATGTATTTAGTGGGTAGAGCTCCAAACCAACTGACCTTGCCCCTGCTTTTTCCATACTTTGCTCGGACCAAAAAAACTGCCACACATTCACTCTCATTAAATTGTTGCGCCGTCTATCTAAATCGCCTTACTTCAAACTTTTCACGAAATTCTACCAAGGACCCAAAGACTCTGTACTTCTTTTCTCCCACATGGTACACAAGTGACATTAATTCGCTCTCCACTTTAGTGATCAGACTCCAATTTGTTTTTAATGGAATCTTATTTCTTGTCCTAAATTCACTCGCCACAGCCAAAGAGAAAGTTGAGTAAGACAAATAAGAGACCAGGATAGGACAAAATGGTTCCAAAATATGAATAAAAGTTGGGCTTAGTAGATTTCCTCAGTGATTTATTATGACGGCCTATGATTCTGAAAGAGAGGCTGGTTGGAAGGATTTTGTGAAATAGTCTCACCGGAAACCGAAGAAACATTGCCGCGTAATGAAGACTCTTAGATTGTGTTAAGAAGTCTTCAATTCACTATTCTGTGACCCTGATAAACGCCTGCTAATCTTTCTTCCCTACTTTGACCAGACATTATCAGAACAAGTATCCATACTATAAGAAATAGCGCAAAATTATTATAAAGCCAAGATAAGAGGTGGTCGGCTGCAACCTAGTTATTTTTTATACACATGTCCTTTTGATTTTAATGATTCTTATACTTTAGTTGGCTACCTCAAACTTACTCTATATGAAGATGAATTGACCTTGTTATAACTTGTTCGCATATTTAGGGCCACCTAAAGAAAAGCACCTTTTCTGAAGTCCATAATGCCCATGATAATTTACCGTATTGGACCGTGGACTTGGTACATTCCCAGAAATTTCAAGGACATCGTAGTCGGCATCATCAGTGAGCTTTGCCAGTCTTAGTATCACACCTCAACTCGTGAAGTCGTTCCTTTGACTGGCTACTGAACAGTTGTCATATCTCTCCTGTCTTGATGTATTCACCTTTCCTATATCCCAATATTTCTTCTTTACTATCACAATTTCTAACTTGCTTACTTAAATCTAGTTCAGGCGTGTCTTTTTAAGCGAATTTATTGCGATTAAAGGAGATTAAATGTCTCGTCATCTTGGTATTCACACCTTGCAAATAATTAAGGTTAATGCAGGAAGTGGATGTGGTGACAACTGTCCCCCTACATAAATAAACTAGTGCAAGATCCTCTAATGTCGACTCATGTTTATGTACATGCTATCATCTAGTGTGTGTATTTAATGTCCGTTTCATGAGAGGTGTGATAGCCCTAACCAGGCCCGAAGCTATTCCAGCCTCCTTTTCATGCTCTCTCTCTCTCCCCCTCTTCTTAAGCCTGTCCAGAAGCCATAAATAGTTCCTACTCAATTTCCCACACTCGGCCACCTTTTCTCTTGGTTTTATTATATTTTTTGCGCTATTTTGT